CGTAATTCCTGTAACCACCATCTTTAAAATTGAGTTTGAATGTTAAATTATACAACGGCAGGATATCTAAGTACAAATTATGTTATGCTATATCAAACATCATCGTCCATTTGAAATAGTGAGTACTTCAAAATAGGGAATTAAGCGATGTCTTTTCAGCGAAATTTGAAATAGCCAAAAAATCCTGTGTCTCTAAGCCACCAATCTCAATCAAAGGGTAAGGTTTTTATTATCGTTCTTTTGCTTAGAATTATATCCGTTTTTTCTCCCCTCGCTTCCATTTTGTTCTTTAACCGTAATCTTATTTTGCTCCACTTGCTTCTAGTATTTCCTTAGGGGTTTCTTTTTGATTTGTCCTTCCGTGCCTAGTACTTTCCTTGCACTTGTCTGTTTAGCTGTTTAAAACGCCTTCGAAACAATATTCAAACAAGGTCGAATTAAAAAGCTTGAGAAAGAAACAAGTGCAATAGCTATAAATGTAGCTGCAAGAGGAATTTCGAAACAGAACTACAAAAGCAGTGGGACGAGTCGGAAAAGGGCAGCAAAACGTGACGAAAATAAAACGAAACTACGTTCTTGACATAGGTACTCAGCCATGTATTACTCATATTACTGACCAATAATATTTGCAACGCACTCAGATGATCTTCCTGCCAAATACCAAAAGAATTTAACGACAAAACAACCAATAATTATCATGTCCAAAATCCAAACCAGGATTAGCCCTCCTGCTGATTGTTACAACGTATAGTCACCTCTCAAGTGTGTCGAAGCGAAGTAGAGCTACTAGGTGCATCAGCATGGAAATGTATCGCCACACACCTTGGTCATTTTTGAATGACCAGACTAGAATACCATACTGTACCTATCTATCACAAGTCACAGGCATACACTTCGTTTCTCGGCTGATTACGCCAAAGCAGGGTTAGCTCATCGCTCAAAGGAATTCGCGGTCAAGTCAAAACCTTTCTAGTGATTTCAAGGGATTCGGATTTGGCACCTGGAGCTCAGTACCGACACTTTTGGCGCTGAATGAGAAAAACGCAAAATTAGAAATGGTATTGCAGATTGACAGTAGGTAACGTTCACTATAGTACCGGAAGTCACATTCCTCGTCACAGGCATATCTGCATCAAAAACGTGATTGCATATTTTGCGTTGTCACGTGACCTGTTCATTGTGGTGAAAGCATTCCATTGCCGAGAATGAAAGAGTCGTCAATTGGAAGATGTTCAGCTA